CAACTTGGCTCCCGGTCCTGTCTGGGGTCTCGGGTCAGGGCCAAGCCAGGGTGGAAAACCTTTTCTTTATCTGTGCGAGTGGCCAGGGCACCTCCGGGAGGTGCTGGTACCCTCTGGCTGTGCCAGCTGTTCCAGCTGTGCCGTGGGCACCGGGGCTCCCACAGGGCCCTTGTCAGCCCAGAGCCCCTTCCCCTCTGAGCCCAGGCTTGCGGAGCAAAGCCAGGGATGGGAATTCTCCAGTGGCTGAAATCAGAGACACCCAAATTCCTCCAGCCCCTCCTTACCACATCAGGAGCCCCGGGCTGTGCCGCCGCCCCCCGCCCGGCCCACAGAGCCACAGCAGCCTGAGGAGGAACATCTAGAAGCTTTATTTCAACCCTTTACAATAGTAAGAACCACAACATCAAGTCAGGAAATGTTGCTAAGGAGACGACGCTCTTACAGCCCCCGGGGAGGGGAGACACACAGGCAGAACCAACCATGGGCTCCGTTGTCTCACACCAAGCACTGACCTCCCCTCCCCAGCCCTCGCCTCCCCGGGCACGGCGCAGGGACAGCCGAGCCCCCCTCCTCGGGCACGCCCTGCAGAATCATCCTATGACACAAAATCATCAAAACACGGCACATTGAGAGAACACGCCACGCGCTGCTCACGCCTCACCAACAGCCCGGTGAGGACAGCGGGGGCCGCGGGTGCGACCGTGCGGGGCGGGCGGGGAGCGAGCGCTCCCGGGATGGGGCGAGCATGGAAAGGGCTCTGAGGGGCTCCGGCTCCCCCGGCCAGGGGGAGCCGGAGCCCCTCAGAGCCCTTTCCATGCTCCAGGGGCAGCCGGAGCCCCTCCGAGCCCTTTCCATGCTCCAGGGGCAGCCGGAGCCCCTCCGAGCCCTTTCCATGCTGCTGCTGCTGCTGCCGCCTCCGCCGCACCCGCCGGCCACGGGGCCCGGGGACATTCCCTGAGCCCGGAGGTGCCGAGCCCTGGGGACATTTCACATTTCCCCGAGCCCCGAGGCCGCCACCGCCACCACGCTCCAAAGAAACCGGGAATTCTGCCTGAACACGAACGCGCGAGGGTCCCGGGGCCCCTCTCACACCGACACGACGCGGGGACAGCGAGAGGGGCAGCGGAGAAAAAGCTACATTCATTTTGCGGCCGGGACCGCAGAGCCCGGCGCTGGGGCGGCCCCGGGCCCGGACTGGGCGGCTCGAACGCTGCTATTAACGGGGTGAAAACCCACGGGAACCGCGGCG